GCCAGCTGCCCCAGCACACTGGCCCTGCCCCTGCCAGTGGCTGTCTGAAACCTTGCCCTGCCGAGTGTCGCCAGCACCCCAACAGCAACCACAACCCCTCCTTGGCCCGGGCCAGAGCCACTCTGGAAACTGGGTTTCTGGGTCTGAGGAGCAGCTTCTCACGCCCTCATCCCTGGCTACATGGGGAGAGACAAACTTGATGAAACATTTGTTCCTTGCCCCAACCGCAGTGGAAAGGTTTCCCTCCACCACTCTGCTCTGACACAGCGGAGTTCCACCATTCGTCACTCCTTTGGATTTAAGGCTTTAATTGCTAAAAACTCCTGGGAGATCAGAGCCCTACCTGGAAGGTAGGTGGGTGGGTGATTCCCTTCACTTATCAGGTTAGTGATTTATCACCTAGTGGGCAAGGGAGGGAAAGGTAGAGAGCAGGATATGATACAGAGAAGTAGGGAGAAGGTGATATACTACAGCGAGTCAAGAGGGACGTGGTCCTGGAGGGCTAGAGCTGGGTGATGGGTACCAGAAACCCTGAGCTTTGGCCTGGCCTTGCCCCTACCTCCCTTGCTGTGTGCCTTGGGCCAGTGGCACAACCTCTCTGGCCTCCGTGCCCCCTCAGCTCAGTTACTGTTAGATCTTCTCCTTTCCACCTTGACCTGTGGAGTGAGGGTTCCAAAGGGTGGAGTGGCTGCAGGCTAATTCTGGGGTCCCACATGGGTCTTCCCCCCTCTCTCTGCCAGGATATGGTAGGCAAGGGTGTGAAGTGGGCTGGGCCATGTAGGGTGGGGTGCAGCTGTGGGAGGAGGCTCCTGCCAGATGTGGAGGTTGGCCTGACCCCTGCCCTGTGCCCCGGGCCTCCCTGGCTGCCCTGGCTGCATTCCCTGCGGGGTGCCCACAGTCCTCCCTCAATGCCCACTTTCAAAGGGCTCCTTGAGGTTGGCATTCAAGGCCCATTGGGTCAGTGGGTCAGGTCAGAAGGCTGTCCCTGCCGAGACCAGACTGTGGGGCCTGTCTCTTGCTGCTCCCTTGAGGACAACAATAACCCCCCTATTCCAGCCCCCACTCTACCCTCCCCTTGAGCTGCCCTCCTCTTTCACAAGCAATGAGGATACAGGGACGGTGGGGACCAGAAGGTAACAGCACCCAGAGTGAATGAGAGGAGGATTGGTGCTCCACCAGGCAGGCCTGCTTTAGGAAAACCCACCCTAGAGAAGTCCAGACTTGCCCCCGCCAGTCGGCCGCTGGGACAGTGGTGGGAGGGTGGGGGCCACGAGAGGAATCTGATCCTATTCGTTCCAGCAGGATCAGAGTCCCATGGCCAGCCTGGGGGCCTGCCTCCCACACCCAGCCATCTTCTTGATCTTGGTTTCTGGCTGGGGCTGGGCCTGGGCCTTGCTGGTCTTGCCATTTGAGTTGGTGGGGGACTCAGGGGGGGCCATGGAGTCCGGCTGGGTAGGGGGCAGCTGAGTGTGCTCTTTCTCTGTCTGAAGGAGCAAGAACTGGCTCAGAATCACATGGGGCTGGGGGGTCCTGTGCCTAGCTTGCCTTGGGCCACGCCCACCCCGTGTGCCCCTAGCCCCCTCCCCTGCCTGAACCCCTGGTTATTCTGGGAGCTTTTAGCTACCACTTAGTCAGCCACTAATGCGTCAGGCCGGGGAGTGAGGGGGGAGACACGGTGCCAGACGGTGCTCCTTTTAGACGTCCAGGAGGGGAAGCAGAGGGGGCTGGTGAGGCAGGGGGAGTGGGGAGGTGGGGGGATGCTGGAGGAGGGGAGGCTTTCTCAGCCTGGCCAAGCTTGATCCTGGCCCTGCTAGAAGAGAGGAGCGGGCAGCACCGGAGACTGACAGGCAGTGAGTCAGTGTATCCTTGGCCCCCCTCGCCAACTCAGGGCCTCAGCCCACCTTCCTGATTCTTCTCTCGTTAGGTCTCTGTACCTACCATACAGTCAGCTCCCCCACCTTTGCTCTTGCCTGGAATTCTCTTCCTGCCTGTTCCTGACCCATCTAGCTTTGATCTGCCGCCCCCATCCCTTTGGATTCCTAAGGAAGCAAACAGATGCATTTAGGGATGCGGCACTTGCTCCCATGGCTGGGCCTTTTTAGGGCTAGCCCTGGCCTTGCTCAGCCCCTGCATGGGCAGAGCCTTGAAGGCCACCCCCTCCCTGGCCCAGCTCGCTCCGTGTCAGTGCCATGGGGCCACGGATCCTGGCCACGAAGGCTTGGTGCTGCCTTCACTTCCAGGCAGCCCTCCTGCCCCTGAGCCCCCAGCCCCCGCTCCTGCGACCTGAACAAAGCTTCCTTTCATGTATTCATGGAGCTGCTGCCGCTCAGACACTTCCCGGGCACAATCAGGCCCTTTGAGGGCCTCGGGCAGTGCGGGAGCCGGGCTGGAGCTGGGGTGGAGAATGGGCCAAGGCCTCATCCTGGGCCCGAGCTGGTGCCATCCCCCCATACACATCACCAGGCGCAGAGCCGGCAGGGGTGGGAGCTTGGGGGTCATGGGAGGCAATGCTTCTGGGCTCCTATTTGTTATTCTGCAAAATGGGGTGAGCAGTCTCTGCCTCCCTGCATCCCGGCAGCTGCAGCCAGGATATGAGGGGACCTGGGCTCAGGCTTGCAGATCCACGCAGGACTGTTCTGGCCCTGGCACTGCAGCCCCCACACTGCACCCAGCAGCGGGCAGCCCTTGCCCGCCCTTTGTGCCCGTGGAAATACTTTGTGAGCAGCCGAGTTCTTCACCAAGACAGTTTTGCTCAAGAGTTGTGGAGGCTTGTTCCAGGGTAGGGCCAGGTCTCCCCCTCAGACCTTGTTCTCCAGGGCTAGGCCATGCCTTTGCCATCAGGCTTGATTCTCCAGGGCAGGGCTCTGTCTCCCCCAGCAGACTAGACTCCTCGGGGCAGGACTGCGTCTCCTCCCTTTGACAGCCCCACACAGGGGCTCCTTCAGGGCCCACTCCAGTACCTCTTTCCCCGTGACTAGAGCCCGTATGTTGGCTGTGCAGGCCTCTTCTCTGAGGCCTAGGGCTGGGGTGACCAGTGGAGGTGGCCAGCAAGGCCTGAGGGGTGTGGCTCCCTTTGGCCTGGGGGTTGGGGGTCTTCAGATCTTAGGCCCTAGCCCAGCATCTCCAGATGCAGACACAAAGCTTTTCCTGGCCGCCTGGCTGGCTGGGGAAGTGGGAGGGGAGCGGGGGCTGCAGACTGTCTGGATCCCTGGCTGGGCCGTCGGGATGGCTGCTACTCAGGCTGCGGGTGAAAGGGGAGCCGTGCGAGCTGAGTCAGGAAGGCTGCCTGTCTGCGGCCTGCTGACCCCAGCAATTTTCCAGCTGGAAAGGCCTGGGGGCCTGAGACCTGCCAGCCCTACCCACACCATTCCTACCACGCAGCACGCAGCAGCTGGGATCTCAACCCCTGCCCTGCACAGCTGGGGCCTGGGGGATTGAGCCTTGGGGTAGGGAGGCCTGACACCCTGAGCTGCTCAGGCTGTTTGCGGAGTGCCCAAGGAGAGCCAGGTGAACCCCAGGGCAGTGAGCTCAGTACTTCTCAGTGGCCCACGGTGCTGGCATCTCCCTGAACGCTCCTGAGAACTGACAGTCTGGACGAGCCAGTCTGTCCTGCCTCCTGGTGTGACCTTGGGCTAGCGTGTTCTCCAGGGGCCCTCAGTTCCCGCCTCTATGCAGTGAGCCAGGCCGCAGCTGAGGTGAAGAGTGAGAATATCCCACTTCCAGGGATGATTGGCCATGCAGGGGTGTACCTTAAGGAAAGGGAATGCAGGTGTGGGTTGCACGGGGGTGTAGTGCTTCTTGCCCCCATTGAATGCAGAATCAGTAGGAATGGCTCAAATGGCAGCAAGAGGGATTTAGGGGAGACTCGAGAAAATGGCAGTTCTATTCTGTCTGGACTGGAGTGTGTCCTGCTTGAGTGTCATTGCTAAGCTGGCTGCCCCTGAGTTTGCTGCAGTTGAATAAACAGTGGTCAGGCCGATTTCCTGGGTGAGGCCCCAGGCTGGTCAGAGGTGGGAAGATGCTAGCTGTAGCTGATTGCTGGGGGCACAGCCACAGGCCATCCTGTCTCTATAATTTAGTCCTGCAACCAGGACAACCTCAGCAATGTCACCGGAGATGAGACATCTTCTCCCCGGAGGCGGTGGCTGCAAACAGTTTCTTGTTTGGGCAAAATTGTCCTGGTCAGCCCTTCTGCTTAAAGGCCCAGGCTGTGCCCTGTGAAGGGCTGCCTGTCCCAGAGTTGCTGGGGAGCCAGGGCTGATCTTTACCCCCATGGCAAGCTGGCGTGTCTGTGAAACCAGGCCAAAGCCGGCCAGGCCAGAGTCCAGCTGGGGGGCAGGAGCATGGGTTCTGGTTCAGGGCCTGCTACTGACTGTGTGACCTTGGGCTGCCCCTCTCTAGACCTCTGTTTTCCCGTGTAAAATGGGAGGGAGTGGACATTAAGATTCCTTTCCAGCTCTGATCTAAGCTGACCTGCTCACCAAGGGGCCACGGTGGGCCGGGAGGGGTTGGAGAGGGCTTCCTGAAGGATGGGATGGGGTTCTGAGCAAAGTGATTTGTGGGAACCTGGGCTCTAAGTGGGGTGCTTAGAGGCCCTGCTACCTGCAGTGGGTGGAGGTGCCTCTTGCTCTGTCCTGGGCAGCAGAGAATCTCACAGAGCAGAGCCAGGGGGCCCTGGTCCCTCCTGCCTGAGCCCAGCCCCTTAGGAATAGCACAGTATGTGTGGGGGTCTGTTCTCCCCAGGGATCCCTAAATCCTCCCCCCACCCTGAGGTCACACATATTGTAGAGTAGGGACCATGGCTTTGGGGTGAGGACAGCTGGTTGCTGGACCCCGCCAGGGGGCCCCTCGCTTCTCCTGGTTCTGAGTCCTGGTGTCATCCCAGCCCAGACCCAAGCACTAGCTGCCAGGCCGGTACTGGTGTGCCTGGGGGTGGGGGGACCAGGATTTTCCTGCCCAGGGCCCAGCCTCAACATTTCTGCCAATTGCCTCCTCTTCAGGCCGCGCAGGGCAGGACCGGGTGGACTTTGGTTCAGCCGAGCCTCACACGGTGCTTTTCCATGAGCCGGGCAGCTCCTCCGTGTGGGTGGGTGGACGCGGCAAGGTCTATCTCCTCAACTTCCTCGAGGGCAAGAACGCCTCCATGCGCACGGTGAGCCTGGACCCCTCTGCCCGCCCTGGGGACACAGCTGAGCCCCTCCCTCCCCCTTCCCCCATCTCTTTTTTATCTCCCCTCTGGCCTTGATGAGGGGCTTCAGGGAATCTGAGGGAGCTGGGCTCTCTTCCTAAGCTGGTCCACCCTCCATTATATCCCATAAATGGTCCCTGGGGAGGCTCCCTAAAAGTAGTCCAGATTCTGGTGGGTGTTGAGGTGATGTGGAGAAAAGCCTGGATCTAACGCTCCATGGCCTCTGTCTTCTGAGATCTCGGGCTGGCCCTGAGCTCCCGGCTTTGGCTCCGGGCTTCAGGCCGAGCAGCCTGTGTGATCTTGGGTAAATCACTCACCCTCTCAGAGCCCTGGGTTCTCATCTGTAAAGTGAGCTTGTCGTGGGGATGCATGGAAAGCACTTACGGAGGCAGCTGGCACTGGCACAGTGGACTAACGCTTCTCCCCTTCCTTCCAGGTGAACATTGGCTCCACAAAGGGGTCCTGCTTGGACAAGCGGGTGAGTGGGGTGGGGGAGTGCAGAGGGGAGGCTGAGCCCCTTGGGAAAGGGACAGGAGTCCCTGAGAGTCTAAGGAAGGAGTCTTTGCCCTGCCTTGGGAGCTCCGGTCTGGGAGGAGAGAGGCAACCTTGCCCTAGGGTTCTGAGGAGGAGGCACAGTTCTCTGAGGCCTCTGTGTCCTTCCTCCATTCTTGGGGGGCTGCAGTCAGCTGCACCCCCTCTGGGCTCTCCTTGGAGGCTGCCTCCTATGCTCAGACTTCTGATGCCTTCTTCCCTAAGGCTGAGGTTCCAGTGCTAGGCCTGCCACGGCCTCCAACCAACCTGTCTCCTTTCCGTTCCCCCAGCAGGACTGCGAGAACTATATCACACTCCTAGAGAGGCAGGGCGAGGGGCTGCTGGTCTGTGGCACCAACGCCAGGCGCCCCAGCTGCTGGAGCCTGGTGAGAAGGCCCCTCTCCATGTGCCTGCTCAGCTCACCCTCGTCTGGCCCCCATGGTGGGAAGGAGGTGGGGGGGATTCTGAAGCTGGCCTCACCTTGTATAGTATCCCTGGGAGAATGGGGACCCTGGCTGAGAAGCTGGTGCCCACGGGAGGCAGTGGCCATGGGATCACGTAGCTACCTGAGCCCCTTGGTCTTCCCCAGGTGAATGGCACCGTGGAGTCGCTTGGTGAGAAGAGAGGCTATGCCCCCTTCAGCCCGGATGAGAACTCCCTGGTTCTGTTTGATGGTAGGGCTGCGGCTGGAGCAGGAGGGCCCCCTGAGGGCTGCTGCCCTGGGCTCGGGGAGGGTGGTCAGCTCGGTGTCTGGTGGCCCAGGCCCGGGGGAGGGACTTCTGGGAGCCGTCTGCCCTTACCCGTGCCCCTCCCACTGTGCCCAGGGGACGAGGTGTACTCCACAATCAGGAAGCAGGAATACAACGGGAAGATCCCTCGGTTCCGACGCATCCAGGGCGAGATCGAGCTGTACACCAGTGATACTGTCATGCAGAGTGAGTCAGGCTTGGCTGGCCTGGGGTGGATGAGAGGGTGTGAATGCCCAGGGCGGCAAACAAGATCCTCATGTTCCGTGGGAGGGCTCCTGGAAGGCTGCTGGGGCCACAGGCCATCAGGAAAGTGGGAGCTTCGTACAGGCCTGAGTAGCCGAAGAGGTTGGCCTGGCAGGGAGCAGGGGAACAGCAGAGAAAGGAGTGGAGGCAGGATGGGCCCAACACACTCTGGGAACAAAACAGAGGAAGCCCCAGGCCCAGTGTGGGGTCCCCGGGTGCCATAGTGTATCTCTCTGCTGAGCTCATCTGGGGGCAACACTCCTGCCCTCCTCGTTAGGGCTCTGCCAATTAGACAGAAGTGACACAGGGGTCCCCAGAGATCTCCCCCAGTCCCCAGGCATGAAGTCATTGCTCCTGGGCCGATGACGTCTTTGTATGAGAGAGCAAAACAGGTGTGGGTGGGGGTGCAGAGTTTCAGGCCCCTTGGGGTGTTGGACCTCATGTTCTGAGTTTTATTCTGGGTCTGATTTGCCCCATAGATGGGGGTGTGCAGGGTCGGGGTGCATCCTCTGAGCGGGCTCCCCAGCCTCACACCCATTTGCCTGTGTCCCTGGCAGACCCACAGTTCATCAAGGCCACCATCGTGCACCAAGACCAAGCCTACGATGACAAGATCTACTACTTCTTTCGAGAAGACAACCCTGACAAGAATCCCGAGGCCCCTCTCAACGTGTCCCGCGTGGCCCAGCTATGCAGGGTGAGTGAGTGGCTGAGTGAGCAAGAGTGTGTGTCTGTGCCTGAATAGGAGTGAGTGAGTGTGTGAGTGCCTATGTGCAAATGTGCATGCATGTTTGTGTGAAGGAGTGTGTGAAATGTGTGAGTGAGTCTATGTGTGGGATTGTGGGAGTAGATGTGTGTGCACATGAGTGTCTATGCATCTGTGAGTGGGTAAAGATAGTTGGGCTCATGTGCTTGTGTGATAGTGTGCAAATGTGTGTATTCATAGGAGAGTGTGTATGAGTGCACGTGAGTCTGAAAATGTGCTTATATGTGTGTGTTTCATCTGTGTGAAGGTGCTGGGATTGTGAGTCTGTGTCATGTGTGGGAGTGTGCATGTGTGAGAGTGGGCAAATGTGTGTCTGAGCTGGTCTGCTCTGTGGGGACCTGGCACCCTCCCCCTGCAGGTCCCCACTGCTGGCCCTGTGCCATGGGTCAGCCAGGCCTGCCGGCTGGAGCCTGACCCAAAAACCTGGCCTGAGTCGTGGGGCACCTCTGCCTCGTCCCCTGGCAAGTCCTGGCCCCTTTCAGAGCCTCCCTTCCTCCTCTGAAGTCCGGGTGCTGGCATGCCTGGCATCAGGCACCTCGGGTGTGGGGTAGCCCGGGCGAGTGCTAAGGGGCCTCCTCTCCCCTCTCCCCTTCCAGGGGGACCAGGGTGGTGAGAGTTCCCTGTCGGTCTCCAAGTGGAACACCTTCCTGAAAGCCATGCTGGTGTGCAGCGACACTGCCACCAACAAGAACTTCAACAGGCTACAGGATGTCTTCCTGCTCCCCCACCCCAATGGCCAGTGGAGAGACACTAGGGTCTATGGCGTTTTCTCCAACCCCTGGTGAGTGCCTCGTCCTGGGGCTGGCGTTGGTTAAGTGTCCAGTAGGGGTCGGAGGGCTTGGGCCCTGCTGAGGGGATGACTGATGAGGCGTGAACAGGGACCCCAGGCTCAAGGGACAGGGCTGTTGCTGGGCCTGGGGCAGAGGACAGTCAGTATTCAGGGAGAAGTGTGTGCTGGTGTGTTTGTGAGTCTGTACACACGGGTGTGCATGCATGTGCCGTGTGCGTGCTCGTGCTGCCTCTGTGCCTGTGTGTCCCCCAGCTCTGTGCTCAGAGCAGGTGCTGGGCCCTGGGAAAAGGCTGCTCAGGCCCCTCCGGGTGCTGGGTGCTATCACACTGCTCGGGCCCTGCTGGCGCCTGAGAATTCACACCTCTTAATCACTCTTATTGATTGAAAACAAGGCAGGCAAAAGTGTTGAGTGTGTGTGGGGAGAGGTGGGGGACTGGGTAGGGAAGCCAAGGCCCTGTGGCTCCCGTGTGGGTGGACCCAGCCCGGCTGGGAAGGGGACGCGGGTCTGGCCTGCTTGGGCCTCAGCGTCCTGCAGCTGTGCCCAGAGAGGTTGGAGGATCACCCCCAGGGAAGCATATGTTGGGATTCCTCCTGCTCTGGGCTTGGCCTCTGAACTCAGTGATTCTGTGACAGAGCACAGGTTGTAGTTTTAGATGGCAGCAGAAAGAAATTCAGTTGAACTTCCCTCCCTCCCTCCCTTCTTCAGTAGTCTTTGAGAACTCAGGTACCGGGCTTGGCCCCCAGGATAGTCCCGGCCCTCATGGAACTCGTAGGTCAGGGAGCTTGGTGGGAAGGCTGTGGTTGTGCCCTGTCTGGTACTGGGCTGGCCTGGGTGAATGGGGGTGGGTGGGTCGTGGGCCCCCGGCTGAGGTGGTCTCTGTGTCCCCACAGGAACTACTCGGCCATCTGCGTGTATTCCCTTGGTGACATTGACAAGGTCTTCCGCACTTCTTCACTCAAGGGCTACCACGCGGGCCTTCCCAACCCTCGGCCTGGCAAGGTGAGCTGTGACACCCGCCATGGCCCAGGCCCCAGCCCCACCTCCCAGCCACCTCACTGACCTGGACCTGTTCTCCTTGCCCAGTGCCTCCCAGACCGGCAGCCGATACCCACAGAGACCTTCCAGGTGGCCGACAGTCACCCTGAGGTGGCACAGAGGGTGGAGCCCATGGGGCCTCTGAAGATGCCATTGTTCCACTCTAAGTACTACTACCAGAAAGTGGTCGTCCACCGCATGCAGGCCAGCGGCGGGGAGACCTTCCACGTGCTTTACCTAACCACAGGTGAGAGGCCACCTGCAGCCCCCCAGGTCTGCTTTGTAAAAATGGCTATGAAAGGTATAAAGAAGAATGTAATAAACATCAGATTGGATCTTATACCTGGAAGGAAGATTTGAGTGACTAAGTGCTGTCAGGGGTTAGTAGGTGTGGCTGTGGAAGAGTCAGGCAGGGAAGGCTTCCTGGAGTAGGTGGGGGCTGAGGGAAAAGGGGAAGGCATCCTAGGATGGGAGAAGAGCAGATGCCAGGATTCGGAGCAGAAATGTGGTGAGTCTGAGCAAAGCTGGTGCCGCTTTGGTCCAAATGTCTGACTCATGAAGATGGTAGGAAGAGATGTGGAAAGTCAGGAGAAAGGACCTGGTCACTGGGTATGCTGTGGGTCTCTGCCAGGCAGAATGAGGAAGTCAGACTCTCTCCCTGTCTTTGGGATTATGCAGGTGAGAGGAAACATTTGATGTGGGATGGAAAGAATTTAGTGAGATATGAGGAAGGACTTGCAGATGACAGAGCCTTTGCAGAGGACTGCAGGGGCACCTCATTTTCCCTGGAGGGGGCTTTCCTGGGGGAGCAGGGTCTTGCTGACCCCAGAAGCTGAGTGGGTTGCCATGAGAGATGCCCCTGCGTTCTGGGAAGCCACTGGCCATGGAGCCATCCCCGAGCTGGGTTTATGGTAGCTTCCTGGTCCCAGGCTGTGGGCAAAGGGGGCTCCTGGCAGCAGGCGTGGAGATCAGAGTTGGCAGGGCCACAGGCCTTCCTTGAGACTGGGTGGTGCTGCCATCAGAAAGAGCAGTGTCTCCCCCAGGTGCCTAGAACCTCTTGGGCCACACAGTCCAGGCCCCAGGCCATCTCCTCAGTTTCTTACACCAGCCACTCCCCTCCCCATGTGACTTCCCGCTGTTGCTTTACCTTGGCGTTTTCTAGACGCCATGGTGGCCTCATTTGTTTGGCTCCTAGAAGCCTCTGGGAGAGTAATTTCCCACCAAGCAGGGCCTGGTTTTTGGGTCCTGAGATCCCCACCTCTTCACTCCTCTGTTCATCCTCGCTGCACCCACTGGCCCCTGTCTTTGCTCTCCTCCAGCAGCAGCTGGCCCAGCTGTTGTGGTCAGCCAGAGGGCCGTCGGGGTACAGGAGAGGAGGGGTCACATGATGCGGGACTGGGAGCAGGAGCCAGCACAAGGAAGGCTGGGCTTGGCCCGAGGGAACCGTGGGCTCCCTTCCTGCAGACGTGGGAGGCCAGCGCACTTTGGGAGGCCAGCGCACTTGAGTGCTGAAGGCAGTTGTCTCAATTCTCCCTGAGGGCCATGGGAGAGACACCATTTTGGAGCCTGCAGCAGGAAGAATTGGGGCCACATAAGAAATAGAACTTTCTGAGCCCTTTGCAGAGAATAGGAGGCTCTCACAGCCAAGAGAAGCTGTAGGAGGCCGTCACCCGGCTGTTGTGGAAGGAGGTGAAGGGTGGTGTGTGTGTCAAGGCAGTGCCTGGGCTGGGAGCTTGTCAGGTCAAAGGAGCATCGGGCCCCATCCCAGAGCCTGCAGAGGGGCTCACCAACGCTAGGGGAAACGTCTTAGGCAGGCAATCATCTGCTCGTCTGACTGCTTTTTTGGGGCAAGTGATGCCCTGGGAAAATGGGAGGGAGGGAGGAGAACGTAGGCTATTCTAGAAACTGGGACAACAGGTGAGGTGGGATTAGGAGGACACAGGGGTCAGGATGCCCATTAGTCCCCGACAGGTGTGAATGGAGAGAGCACTGGCCTCGGAGGCAGCAGCCTGATATGTGACCTTGGCAATCCCTATGTGGACTCTAAGGTCCTTTTCCGATCTAAGATTTTATAACAATTAAAAAATCCCCTAAGACTAAATGCAGTGTGGAGTCCTGGATTGGATCCTGGAACAGACAAAAGGACATTAGTGGAAAAACCCGTGAAATCCCAATAAAATCTGTAGCTGAGTTAATAGTAATGCACCATGTCATTTGCTTAGTTGTGACAAATGTACCACAGTTACATAAGATGGTGACGTGAGGGGAAACTGGGTGAAGGGTATGCGGGAACTCTGTAATATCTTTGCAACTTTTCTGTAAATCTGAAATTGTTCCAAAATAAAAGGTTTATTTAAAGAAAACATATCCCCAAAGAGTCCAGGAGGCAGGGGAGTCAGAGAAGAAGCTGAGGGATGGCGTTTTGATGCTTATGGGTTCCAGTCACCAGCTGTGTGACCTTGAGCAGGTTGCTTAGCCTTTCTGAGCTACACTTCCTTGTCTTCAAATTGGGGAAGATGATCTCTCCAGGGGTGTGGAGGATTAAAGGAGGTAGCGCTAATGCGGATAGGCGTAGGGCAGGGGTAGGGCACCTGGGGCTGCTGGTTCTGTTCTTCACACTTCGGCTTCCCCTGCGGCCTTGGGGAGCCCTGGGCCTCCTGAGATGGCCTGCCTGGCCCAGCCTTGGAAGCTTCGGGCTCCCACGTCGCTCCCCAGTCATGCCCTTTGTGCCTCACCCACCCCAGTCCTGTGACCCTCGCCTGAGCCATGACTTCCCAGCCTCCCCCACCCATGTCTTTCCCCTGGTCGGCCCGGCCTAGAGAGAGGCTGCCTGGCTCCGTGGTGGGACTCCCGCCCGCTGACCTGCTGCCTCCCACCCACAGACAAGGGCACCATCCACAAGGTGGTAGAGTCAGGGGAGCGGGAACACAATGCCTTCAACATCGTGGAGATCCAGCCCTTCCGCCGTGCAGCTGCCATCCAAGCCCTGTCACTGGATGCTGAGCGGGTGAGCTTCCCCACCCCCACTGCACCCCATGGGGCTACCCAGTGGTGGCCAGCTGAGGACAGAGCTCCTTTGCATGTGATTTGCATGTCCTTTTCAGAGCCCTGGGCCCCAGGGCCTGCCAAACAGTTGGAACTGTGTCCTGGGGCTTAGCATTCAGTGTGGGGTGGGAGATCTGGCCTGACTGAGTCCTGCTCTCTTTTCAGCGGAAGCTGTTTGTGAGCTCCCAGTGGGAGGTGAGCCAGGTGCCCCTGGACCTATGTGAGGTCTATGGTGGGGGCTGCCACGGCTGCCTCATGGCCCGAGACCCTTACTGCGGCTGGGACCAGGGCCGCTGTGTCTCCATCTACAGCTCCCAAGAGTATGTTGCCTGGGATCCCTTGTCCCCGGGAGAAGGTGGACACGGGAGTGCGGGTGGTGTTGACAGGCTGCAGGAGGTGTTGGTGCTGGACCATTCTGGCCAGACCCTCCTCTCATGGGCACCACTGCTGCTACTGGGTGGGGGATGAGGATGGGGAAGGGGCCAGACCTGCGGCTTCCTGTCTGCTTAGCCTCTCTCCTCCTTCCAACTCCAGGCCCGTGCTGCAGTCCATTAATCCCAACGAGCCACACAAAGAGTGCCCCAACCCAAAGCCAGGTAAGGGAGCTGGCCCTGCCAGGGCCCCAGTCCAGTCAGGGTGGTACAGCCAGGCCCGATTGCCCTGCCTGGGAGGACATGGTGTGGTCCTGGAGGCAGACCCCTTGGTGTGGGGTTGTTGTGAGAGGGGTGGGGTGAGGGAGGCAAGGGAGTGTAAGGAGGAGACTGGGCGCCAGTTTCCCCGTGTTCATTTAGAAGCCTTGGCCTTGGAGGCCAGTCAGTGGGGGAGGATACAGCCTGCCCTGAGAACCCTCAGCCCCTCCTCACACTCCTCCCCATCCCTCCCCAGACGAGGCCCCACTGCAGAAGGTTTCCCTGGCCCCGAACTCTCGCTACTACCTGAGCTGCCCCATGGAGTCCCGCCACGCCACCTACTCGTGGCGCCACGGGAAGAGCGTGGAGCAGAGCTGTGAGCCCGGCCACCAGAGCCCCAACTGCATCCTGTTCATTGAGAACCTCACGACTGACCAGTACGGCCACTACCACTGCGAGGCCCAGGAGGGCTCCTACTTCCGTGAGGCTCAGCACTGGGAGCTGCTGCGCGAGGATGGCGCCACCGCCGAGCAGCTGCTGGGCCGCGCCCGCACCCTAGCTGCCTCCCTGTGGCTGGGTGTCCTGCCCATGCTCGCTCTTGGCCTGCTGGTCCATTAGGGCCTCCTGGGGCTGGGCATGCTGCAGGCGTCTGCAGCCCCAGGGGCACTGAAAAATTCTCACACCCAGAGCCGGCTGGGCCCGGGAGCTCCTTACCCACCACTTCTTCCAGGGGGACTGCCTAACCCAACGGGGGACCCCAGGCCTGGAGATGGCCAGCCGCAGGCGGCTGCTGGGCCCTGGTGGGGTTGGGGCACGGGAGCCGGAGAATGAAGGCACTGACTGTGAAGCTGGGGCATCCATGACCCAAGACTTTATCCTCCGGAGACTATTTTTCAAAAACTCCTCTTCAAACTTGACTAAATGCAGTGATGCTCCTGGCCCAAGAGCACGTGGGCCAGAGAGTAGAGTTTGGAAAGGGGAGCTGGGACCCCATCTCTGGACCTTGGAGCTGAGGCCTGAGTCCTTCTGGACTCTGTATACCCAAGTTGCCCCCTCATCCTCCCTCCTGCCATGGCTGGGAGTGGCTGGTGTTCCTGCAGGCTGGGGGCTGCCCTCTGCGGCTCCCTCGCCAGCCCTGGGTCCCACTAGGCAGCTGCCTTGCATGTTTATTGAGGGATGTTTGCTTTCCGGACAGAAGGACGGAAAAAGCTCTATTTTTATGTTAGGCTTATTTCACGTCTAGCTACTTCTGACTGCATCTGTATGAAAATACCAAAACTACATGCTGGGGGTGGGGTGGGAAAGGGAGGGGCTGGGGAAGGGATGGATTGTGGGGGGGGTCCTAGTCCGAGGCTCCTGGGGGTGGGATAAGAGGCCAGGGTTGAGCATGGTTTCGAGGAGAACGGCAGGAGCTGGCTCTGCCCTGGAGCCCAGTCTGAGGGGGCATGGTCCAAGCTCCCAGTGTGCAGGTGGTTATGGGAGGGGGTGGGGTGAGGGAGACAGGGGAGGATGAAGGAGAAAACTGAGCCCTAGTTCACCAAGTTCATTTAGAAGGAGGAGCCAGGTCCTCAGGGGGAGGTTCCAGGACTCTGCCCTTGGCGTTGTGGGTTGGGGGGTGGGGGGGGGTCCCTCCCCTCCCCCCAGCCCCCTTCCCCAGGGGCTGTGCTTCCATGCTCCTAGCCTCCCACCTTCAGCTCAGGACATGTTATAACTTAGGCTAAACTGTGAATTCCGGTGGGGACGGCCTGGGCCGAACTCTCCAGGTGGACAGCTCTGCCCCCAGCCCTGTCTGTGGGTTTCAGCAGAGAGCTGGGCCCTTCTCTGGCTGTGTCTGGCCAGCCCGGGGCAGAGCCTGGGGCCAGTGGCCTTCCAGCTTCGGCCCCTGCATCTCTTCTCAATGCACTTTAATAATGTAACATATTACTAATAAACAAGCTATTTATTTACCTGTGCCTGCTCCTTGCTTTCAAAGCCATTCTGGTCAGGGGGTGAGGGTGGGGGTTCCTGTTTACGCCTCAGCACCTCCTGCCTGTGTGAGCATCACCCCCTCTCCCTGGCCCTCTCCTCAGAGCCTCAGAGCTGAGGAAACGCTCCCAGCCAGTGAGAGCCAGGAACAGGATCTGAACCCACTGCTTCTGAGCAGGGCACAGCCTGCCAAGCCATTGACCCTGGAGCCCAGGCAGCTCTTGTGCCCTACCTGGCCTCCTCACACCTCAGGAGCTGGCCTTTCCCCCTCCTGGTGTCTCCCACCACTTCCCCTGGGAGGCCTAGCCAGCCATGCTAGAAGCAGTCTCGGGCCTCCCTGCCTTCAAGGGGCCCATTCTGGGAGGGAAAGCTGATCAAATAAGACCCCGTGGGATAAATGTGTGGTGACAGAAGTGTGTGTGTGTAGGAGGCTAGGGGGCCTGGGAGGTGGTGCCTAAGTGGGGATGAGGTACTCACTCCAGGCTGGGCCGCCAGGCCAGGGCAAGGGTCTGGGAGAGGGCCGTGTGCAGAGGGGATCGGGGGGGCGGGGGGAGAGTAAAGGGGGACTAGTGGGTGGGGTTTGAGTGCTAGCCCCAGAGCTTGCCTTTTCAACACCCGGGGCAGTGGGGGGCTGGGGTGGGATTTGTGCCTTAGAAACTCCTCCAAGATAAAGCAAATAGGTTTCAGAACCCAGAAGTATGTGCCAGAAGGGCTCTTGAGGCTGGGGTGGGACGTGGACAGGAGAGTTAGAGGCTGTTCAGGCGCATGGGGGGCAGGACAGTGCATGGAAAGGAGGCCAGCTGGGGGATGTGGAGAGGACCCCGGATGTCCCCCAGAGGCCTCCCCATCTCCTCCTCTCCCCACCCTTTGTTCCCTTCTCACCTGCCACTTGCCACAGGGACTCAGGCCTTTGGGGTTTTGCTGGGAGTTTTTCCTGAGCAGTAACTGCTGGAGAGGGAGGTGCGGCAGACTTGGGACAGCTCCCCTCTCTGAGTCTGAGCCCAGCTTCTGGGTGGCTCTGGCAGACCCCACGGGGCCAGAATAGTCCTCACCCAGGACACTCCCTCCCCCCTCAGTCTGCCCTGTCTCTCCCGGGCCAGCCTGCGCTGAAGATTCTGCCTGGTTCTTTCCTCTCCCACACCCAGCTTCCCACAGTGGCCGAGCAGCTCCAGGTCAGGAGTCTGGGAGATTTGGGGGACCTAGAAGAGCTCTGGGCTGGGGGCAGAGACCTGGGGCCGCCATCGCCCTTCATGATCCTGGGCAGAGCTCGCCTTCCCTGATCCTCCTTCTCCTCATGTGAGAGGAAGGGGCTAGACCAGGGCTTCTGTGGGGCCCCTTCTTGCACACTGTTCTGGGTTCTAAGACCAATTCACTTTGTCTTGGAGGGAGCTCAGAGTCTATGTCCTGGCTCCATCTGTCTGCTTTCCCAGCTCACAGCCAAGCAGAAGCAGCAGCACAGGGGCTTCAGGGCTCCTCACTCACCAAGTCGCTTGAGAGTGGGGGAAAGGATGGAAGGAGTGGGTTTCGGGAGTGGCTAGTGGAGAAAGTGTGGGCTCAAGCCCTGGCCCCGCCTGGAATGCTGGGTGACCTCCGGTGAGTTCCCTGCCCTCTCTGGACTTCAGCAGGCTCCCTTTTTCCTGCAGGGATGCTCTTGGATCCCTGATGGTCTCCAGGAGGGGACTTGAGGGATAGAACACATTCCTTTGTCTCTATGGAGGCACCAGGAGTGGCTGGGCAGGAGGAAGCCGTGTGCATTGAGGCATGAAATGAGCCTGTGTAAATCCCATGTAAATGAGCCAGCAGGGAGGGGACAAGCTGGGCACAGGCTCCTGCCCTGATTTCCCCTGGTGGGCAAGGAGTACAGCGGGCCTCAGACAGAGTTGGGTGGCAGGACCATTAGGCGGGCCCTGGGGGGCACAGAGATTCACACGATATCCCCATGCCAGCATCAGCCTCTTGGAGGCCAGGCTGTGGAGAGGCGCCAGGCCCATCTTTCTGCCCTCTGTCTTGTGCATACCCCCTTCACCAGGGAGCGGAGACCAAAGCTGTGAAAGACCGAAGCTCAGCTCCCCTGGGGAAGCCAGCAGGGAACGGGAGACTCCTTTACGCCTCCCTCTGCTTCATAAATCTAAAGGGCCACTAAGATTTGCCCTGGTTGGTCCATGTCCTGCCATCCTGTCTCCTTGGGGGAAGGCCATTGCCTTCTCATCTCTCCACTGCCTGCTGTCCTGACCCGCCATTCACAGCCCCGCACGCCCCTGTCTTCTATATCCTCGTCTCCCCTAAGTCTTCTACCCACTTCTGCTGGAAACACTCTGCGCCTTTGCTCCTGTGAGTCTCTCCCCTGGAATGCCAGGAGTAGGATGATCCCAGGCAGAAGTTTCAGAATGACCTTGAATTCTTTAGAGAAGTCCTGACCATCCCCTTCACCCACCACTGATGCCTCTGCCTGCTCAGTCCTGAGCTGAGGGGGACGATAGAACCTGAGGGTGGGTGCACCTGGAATCAGGCCCTGGGGTCCCAGCAAGGGAAGGCACAGCCCCTGTCCTCGAGACCCTCGCAGCTTGGTAGGGGAGGTGGATGTGGGGTTGGATGGTGACTGTACGTGCATGTGATGATTCTAAGAGGGAGGGTTCCCAACCCACTGTGGGGGTCAGGGAAAGCTTTGAATGGACCTCAGAGAATGAGTAGAAGTCCTCCAGGTGGAGAAGTCTGAGGAATGGAAGAGGAAACAGTATTTGCAAAGGCCTGGGGTTATGGGCTTGGCTGCAGTAATGTGAGCTCCAGGAAAGCAGAGAGAATCTTGTCAGTTGTGTTTGCAGCTGCATCTCTAGCATCCAGAACAGTGCCTACAATACATTCTTGTTGAATGAATGAGATGACAGAGGGGAGAGTATCTGGAAGAGAGATTGAGTAACTCCGTCAGGGCCAGCTCCTGGGAGCTAGGGCCCTAGATCTGTGTGCTGCAGGTTCTAGGGAGCCATTGAAGGATTTTGAGCGGGGGTGGGGTGGATGGTGGTGTTAATGATCATAAGGATGATGGGGGCCTGAGATCCAGTTCTTCTCATGCTTCATCCCTGCCTGCCTCACTCCAAGCTCACCCCCGCATCCCCAGGCATTTCCAGCTGCCTCCAATTTTAGCCTCTCATTGTCTAGAGAAGCAAGTGGTGAGTCTGGGCTGGGCCATCCCAGCCAGGGTTCTGGCCAGGAGGTCTGCAGGCGCGGGCTGGTGGAGTGGGACTGAAATGGCTAATTCAGGCTCAGGAAATACTTTTATGTTGGTATTGGTTAACTCTGAGAGGAAGAGGCCTTGGGAAAAAACAAAAACAAAGCCCACATTCCCAAGGTCACCAGTGGCCACACCCAGCCCACATGATAGGAAAGAGCAGGACTGCACCCAGGAGGCACTTGCCCTGTTAGCATGCTGGTGCCTGTCTGTAGGATGGTGCCCATGCCTGAACTGCTGGATGCACACCAGATTAAAGCCCCAGAAGTCAGACTGGCAGTTTTTTCAGGTTGGGCAAAATTAGTGGGTTTCGGGTGGGCTTAGGGGCAGTGAACACGTGCTTGGAGTTGGGCCTGTAACACCTGGGCAAACACATGGACTGCAACTCTATCCAGCTCATGAGGCCTGCCCCTGCCCATAGCAGACATCACTAATCAATTGTGGCATTCCTTTCTCCTGAGCTCAGATGAGTGATTTCCTCTAGAACTGCATTCTCCAAGTGCTACTGAGCACTTGAAATGCAGCTCATCTGAATTGAGAGGTGCGGTAAGTATAAAAGACACAGTGAATTTCAAAGATGTTATATGAAAAAGAGAATTTATCTTATTAATAAATTGTTATATTGATTACATGTGGAAATGAAAATGTTTTGGACATATTGGGTTAAATAAAATATATTATAAAAGTTAATCGCATCCGTCTCTTTTACTTCTATTTAATGTGGCTACCAGAAAATTTAAAATGATCTGCGTGGCTCACATTAGATTTCATTGGACAGTACTGCTGTAGAATATTCGCAGGGAATGTTGTCTTTTTCGTTCACGGCTAAATCTCCAGCACCTAGAATAGTGCCTGGCACATAGTTGGTGCTCAATAATTATTTGTGGAATGAAAGAATGAATCCTGATCAACATTGCTCTCCAGGGAGCTGCCACCAATTGATCAGATGGGGTGTATTTGCTGCCTGGGGCTGAAATCCTCCCGTTGGTAGTTTCTGATTTTCAAGCTTTGTTACCCTCTCCGGACTCTCTCGACACCTGGGAGGGGCGGTGGAAGGGTGCTCGGGTGAATGCGCTGTGCGTCTGAAAGCGAACTTTCAGTTCCTTCTGATAAGGAAGCAGAGCAGCCTGCAAGTGATAAGGAAGTCACCTCTCATGGGTGTTTGCATGTCTGGGGTGCTGGGGGTGCTTCCAATCCACTTCCTGGCTCCAGCCCCTGGCCCCTAGGGACAAACGAGGAAGCTCTGGAGACTTTGAGTTTCAGGGGGAAATGGGGCCACCTTAGTCTTTCCCCAGCAAGCAAGGGCTGTAGCCTGGAGCATCCTTGTCTCTCCAATGCAGCAGGAGCCTAAAAATAGTCTGCAGTTCCAGCCTCCCCCACAGCCGCCCGCACGGAGTGGAGCCCTGCGCCGGCCAGCTCCTCCGCAGCCAGACTGTCTGCACGGTCTGCCCCAGCCACAGACCCCCGCCGCCGGCTCCTCGGCCCGTCCTGGCTGCTGGGGAACCTGAGCTCAGCGCTCCCACTGTCAGGCCTGCTAAGGGTCTGCCTCCTGCTCTGTGCTCCTAAGCCAACTGGGCCCTGACTCCCTGGACATCCAGACTCCGTGCTCTGTCCACTCTCCTGTTCTTGAGGGGGTGCTAGCCAGACGCAGAGGCGGGATGAGGGTGTTCCAGGCAGTGGAACCAGCATGTGCAAAACCAAGTGGTGTGAGAAACCAGGGCACGAAGGAAAGGGTTAGCCATTTGGAAGGCTGGT